GGGCTGCTCGCCTTCCTTCCTGCTTTCCACCGAGACACCACCAGGAGCACACCTTGGCTCTGTGCGCAGCCCGCAGCACGGGGTGGGGCTGTGCAGAGTCCAGATGTGGGCTTCTGGGTTCTTTTTATTTGTCAGTATGCGGGTTTGAACTTAGGACTTGGTGTGTACTAGTGAGAGGAAGAAAGGGGAACTTTTAGGTAGCTAGGAGATTAAAAAATGGCGCCCATACCAGGCACAGACAATCCGTGGCCCACCGTGGTGCTTCTTGTTCCCATAAGGCCCTGGGCTTGTGCTCTAACACTTCTTCCCATAAGGCCGTGGGATTCCATTCAACCAATAAGAAGAGCCAGGCTGGCAGGTGCACAAGCCATCAAGCAATGAGGGCAAAGCCTCTGGGGAAGCAGACCACAGCAGAGCCCGTTCCCAGGGTCCTCTCTAAAGGACGTCGGTCCTCCACTTCCCCATTCAATAAACTTGCTGCTTCGCTACTCCTCTGCCTCTTAATTCTTTACCTGGTGGAGAAACAGACCCCTACCCCAGCCCTCGAGGCCCTGAGCCATATTTCCCAAATCAGAGCAATGGCGACAGCAAGACACAGGGAACAGAGACCCAGCACTGTTTGGAAGCACGCTCTGGTCTATGGAATCCTGTCTGTGAATATCTGCTGAGGCTTCAGGCTCCTCCTGAACTACAGGCAGCAACTGTGCAGCTGAGAGGTGCTCTGCCCTTCCCTCCTCCCGCAGCTCCCAACCACGCCTCCCCCTCCCCTGACCACAGCCCTCCCACTAAAGTTCTTCACTTTTTCTCCCCTTCCTTCCTCCGTCTCCCTCCTCCCTTGCTTCCTTCCTTCCCTCCCTCCCTTCTTCCTTCCTCCTTCCCTTTCCTCTTTCTTCCTTCCCTTACTTCTTTCCTTCCTTCCCTCCCTCCTTTCTTTCTTCCTTCCTCCCTTCCTCTCTCTTCCTCCCTCCTCCCTCCTTTCTTCCTTCCCTCCCTCCCTCCCTCCCTCCCTTCCTTCCTTCCTTTCTTCCTTCTTCCTTCCCTTATTTTGTGTCTAGTTAAAAAAAATTTTTTTGGCACTAGTGCCCAGGGCCCTGGCACTGTTGCTAGATTTTGTATTCAAGGCTAGTGCTCTGCCACTTGAGCCACAGCTCCACTTCTGGCTTTTTTGGTGGTTAATCAGAGGTAAGAGGGTCATGGACTTTCCTGCTTGGGCTGGCTTTGAACTGTGATCCTCAGATCTCAGCCTTCTGAGCAGCTAGGATGACAGGTGTGAGCCACCATGCTCAGCTGACATGCCGACTTTATACCATGGTCATGTGTTCTGCTCACCTCCAGTCCTTCCGGTGGCTTTTCTTCTTCTTTCACCCGTGGCCATTCTGCCTAGGCCAGCTGTTTTCTGAGACCCTCACCTTGCGGGCTCTTCCAGCAGTGTAGTGGTCTCACGTGTCCCAGCTCGGGAGTGCATCCCAGGCCCCGCTCCTAGCTAGAGGCTCCCCTTGGATTGGCCAGTCTCATGCCTCAACCCTCCCCAGCCTGGTGACTCGTCTTTGCTAGGCCCTTTAGACTGGAGCCTGTGCTCCACATTGTCTGTCCTGGCTCTGCCATTGCATGTCTTCAGAACATGGCTTCCAGGATCTCCCGTGGACTCTCTGGATGATGCTCATACACGAGACTGGCTTTGCCTGGCCCAGTCCTGACAACCTCACTCCACCCAGGCCTGCGCCACACTGCCTGCCTGGGTGGAGACCTGCCTCTGTTCCTACAACCGGCTTTGCAGCCAGAAACCTCACGGCAGCTCTGCTGACTCCATCCGGTGCCTCCGGCCTTGCAGGAGCTTCCAGACCCCCGGGGTCCGCAGGCACCCAGTGACGTCTCCCTCCCACCGTAACCCTGGGCCCACAGGCACGTAGTGGACCCCTTCTACTGCCACTCTGGCAATGACAGGCTATTGGGGCCATCCTGATGAAGCCGTCCAGGGAGACTGCATTCTCCTGCTAAAGGTCGATGCTGAGATGGCAGAAACCTCGGGCCACTTGCCAGGTGTCAGCCCACGTGCGTGACAGCTTGAAAATTCAGTTCATTATCACACCTTCGGTGGGTGTGCAAAGTGGCCTTGGAAAGGTCTCTTTTACGAGTCATCAGAACGCCTCTGAGGGGTAGCTAGGCTGGTGAATGGACACGGGTGATAAAGAATAAACAGAGAATAGATACATCTACATAGAGGATAGAGATGACAGGTCAATTCTATGTCAATTACAATTAGCCACTGGAAATAGAAAGGCCTAGACAAGCACCAATACATGGGCAAAAGAAGGAAAGACGCTAGAAAATAAGCATCCCATTTTCTCCCTGATTAGATGCTACAGATCACTGGTGATGGACTAACTGTCCAGCCAGCTTGCCCTCTGCCCCGAAGGCCCACATCACTGGCACGTCTCCCTTTCCTAAAACTCAAACCCAGGAGTTAGACAATAATTCCTGGCCCACACCCATTTTGGTAAATAAAGTTTTATCGGCACACAGCCCTGCGCATTCGTTTACAGATTGTCTCGGGCCCCTTTCACACTATGAAGGTAATGTTGAACACTTGCAATAAGACCCTAAGCTCTGCCCAGTGTAAATCAGTCACCGTCCAGACATTACAGAACGAGGGAGCTGACCTGAACGGTAGCACGTCAGCCTAGGAAGCAGGAAGGAGCATTAGATCTGGGTCCAACACCTGCTCTGAGTACAGTAGAGGTGGTGCTGTCACCAGAGTCGGGCCAGAGCTGCAGTGACCACAGTCTCTTGTGTCTAGCAGCGCCCCCTGGTGGCAGCTGCCGTTCATCTCTGCAGGCAGCCGCTCTATGCCCAGTATGGGCATCTTTTCCATCCCACAACTCCCTCCTTCCTGTGAGCCCCAGTGAAGACTTTGCTTGGAGTTTCTGCTCTGTTCCCAGCCTCCCGGGGTCTGAGATTGGTTCCCCAGTCCTACAGTCACTACAGGGGAAAGGTATTGAGAGTGACCGCTGGACAAAGGGTTGAGTCTTGCCTCTGCTTCCTTGTTCCCATCAAGTGATGGTAGGTCTCTACTCTCAAAGCTCCAGTAAGAGCCTCTCTCTTCCCCAGGTAGAGGAGTACACTCTTAATCCGGTGTTCACAACTTCCCCTCCACCATGTCTCACTGTAATCTCTCTCTCTCTCTCTCTCTCTCTCTCTCTCGTCTCAATACTGGGGCTTGAACTCAGGCCTCACCCTCTCATTTGGTCTCTTCATTCAAGATTGGCACTCTACTACTTGAGGCACATGGTTTTTTCTGGTTAATTGGAGATAAGAATCTCCAAGACTTTTCTTACCCAGCTGGCATTGAACTGGGATCCTCAGCCCTCAGCCTCCTGAGCAGCTAGGATGACAGATGTGAGCCACCAGCACCAGAGTCCATGAAACAATTTTGGAACCTCATCACTTGCAGGGGGTAGAGCAGGAAAAGGGTGCTGTGGCCAGGCCCTCAGAAGGGAGCAAGCTTTGGGGGTGCTGGCCTAACTGAAGCCACTGTGCATTCTCTGTTGGACCACACGGGGGCCTTACATTACTCCTTGCACTGATGGGGACGGGGGCTTTGTCAGGGTTCAGACGATCGAGGGTCACCGTTGTGATGTCACTTCAACCTCAGCGAGGTTTGTCCGTGACCCTAGAGTCATGTAAGGAGAACCTAGCACTGGCATCTGCGGCCTGGGCCTGGCAGGAAACAGCTCGCTCTGTGTGTGGTGCGGCCTCTCAGAGCCTCATGTTCATTCTTGCCTTCGCTGCCTATGCCAAGACTCCCAGCGCGCTAAGCTTTTGAGGTTTGGCACCGCTGGCGGATGACAGGGATAGGAAAGGCCTGAGCTGGCTTTGGGCGGACGAGGGTTTGAATTCCAGCTATGAGGCCTTGAACCCCTTCCCCCATGGTGAAGTGGGGGCAACATCCATGGGCTGAATTGGGCACATTCCCATGGGAAAGCCCCAACACTGCACGTCTCCCCGACACCTCAAGAACCTGCTGTGGCTCTTCACTGTCCATAAAAGAACGCTGCCTGGCTTAAGGTCTGAGCTCCTCTTCTGACTCCAGCCTGCTTCTCCACCTCGCCTTCCATCTCCTCCCCTCCTGACCCATGAGCCTGATGGGTCACACTTCCATGCCCACTACGTGCCACCCCCCCCCCCCCGGTCTCTCTAATGCCTTTGGAAACCCTGTTGCCTTTCAGGGCTCAGTGTAGATGCTACCCCTTCCATGCTGCCTTCCTGATATTCAGCTTTGGGCCTTGTGGAAGGAAGGGAGGAAGGAAGGAACGAAGGAAGGAAAGAAGGAAGGAAGTCCCATAGTCCCTGCCTAAACCCATATCCATTCATTCCATGTTAGAGTCTCACCTGTCTCTTCACCCATAATCCTTAAGTTCAAAGGACCACCTTTCCTCTCCACCCCCCACAAGCTGGCCACACCGCAGAACTTTCAAGATGAAGATGCCAAATCCCCAGTCCTCTGTCACTCAGACAACCCCGGAAAATCAAGTCCCCTTCTCAGAGTGACAGCGAAAGGTTAGAGAAAATGGATTGCTACACAAACCTGGAACTCGGAGGAACTTCTACAGTAATCCTGGGGGCTCTGAGAACACCTAGAGACTTGCCAGCCGTGTTCCCCTGTGCTTGGCGATTAGGATATTTCCAAATGAGGAAAAGCCCCAAAGCCTTCCCGGCCTGCCCAGCCTGGCTCCTGTCTGTGCTGTGCTCCAGGTATCTGAAAAAATACCCTCATTGCTCGGCAAGATCCGGAATGTCAGGCCATCCCTCCACACGCAAGGCTGGGCTCAGGCATCACCTGCTGTAGTACCTCAGCGTCCAGCACAGAGTCCAGCACAGGGTCGGGACTCCCCAGCCCCTCTGAGCTGCCCAGCTGCAGGTGGCCTCCTGCCAGCTAAGCAGGTGCCTGGAGGTTTCTGTATGGCCGCAGCGCCCTCTGCTGGGCGACGCAAGACACTCACCGGGGTTGGAGCGTTCACCACCGACAGGTTGTATCCATACAGGAATGAGGAACCGAAGGCGCCCACCAGAGAGGCCACGACCAGCCAGCAGGACCAGTCCTGGGAAGAGAAAGGAAAACGCATCCATCAGTCACGGTGGAGACGGCCGCTCCGCTGGGGGAGCCCATCAGAGGGCTCTGGACCTCCTCCAAGTCCCGACATTCAGTGTTGTTCGTTCGTTTTCAGTATGAGGATTTGAACTCAGGGCCTTGCACTTGGCAGATGTGCCCAGCTTGAACCATGCCCTCAGTCCCTTGTCCTCTGTTTTACTCTATTTCCCCCCTCTTCCTCCTTTTTGTGTTGATACGGAGGCCTGGACTCAGCTCTTGCTTTTTCCTCATAGCTCGTGCTTCACCACTTGAACCAGGCCTCCAGTTCCTTTTAATTTTTTGCAGGTCAACTGGAGATGAGTGGCTCAGATTAATCTGCAGACCTCAGCTTCCTGGGTGGCTAGGATGAGGGGCGTGAGTGGTCACATGAGACGCAACGCGTGGAAGGGGCCCTGCGCATTTTGAGCACTTGCAAGTTCTCTTCCGTCCAGCGGAGACGTTGATATGGAGACTGGAGTTAAGCTGTCTCAGACCAGGGGAAGCCCAATATTGCCACGAAGCCAGCTCTGAGAACAGAGTCATGGGATGACTCCCCTTCACAGCCCACGGGCAGTTCAGTTCCCAGTGTGAGCCTTCGGGATGGCGAGACACAGCATTTCTACTGTTGAGGCTCACAGTGTATGGTATTTGCCAGGGCAGTGAGTTCTCACCAACTAGCAGAAGGTAAGAGGGGCGGGGAGAAAGATAGACAATGTGTGGAGAATATAAAGACTTCACGTGGCCGGCTCCCCTGTCTGCACCCGCCCGCGGAGACGCAGAAGGCCTGGCCTAGGGTGGAAAGTGGTGGACGGAGCTGTCTCTTCAGCCTGGCGGTCTGCCTGTCCCCCTCCTCCTCCCATGGCTCCCTCCCCAGCAGAGAGTGCCACAACCTGATCGTTGGTGTCACTGCCTGTTTTTATGTCACTGCCTGGTGACCTGGGAGGGGAAGGAGAGGGACGGCTCTCAGGCACAGTGCAGAACTCTCCATGGAGGATCTGTTTTGCAGGCGGCTCCAGGTGGGGCCTGAGCCCTGTCTCTCAGTGCCCACCCAGGCCCTGAAGCCATTTTGTGTTTACCTTTCCGGTCCTTCCACCCGGAGCCTCCCTCCTAGGGCCGTCCTGTGTCAGAGGTGCCAGGCTGAGGTCCTTGGAATCCATGCTGAGTTTCTTCCCAAGGAGCCTGGCAGCCCAGCTCTCGGCTCCTCGCTGCCCCAGGACTCTGGACTCTGCCAGGGCATCTCTGTGGGTAAGGAGGCAGAGTCCACAGCGGGAGGGCAGGAGTCCCCAGACAGGAAATGGAGCAATCTGCTCAAGCCCCAACAGGAACCACTTGCATTTTCTGCCCTGCCCCCCACCCCCTCCCCAATCATCACAGCAACTGAAGACTCTTAAAGGAAAACCTGGCCTCTTCGGAGGTAACAGGAAGTGCGTTCCTCCCTCCCCCCTGGCATCCTGCAGTGTCTGCGGCTCTCCACGTGGAGTGACTGGCGTTGATCCAACACACTTGTGAATGGCTGGGACTGGAGGGAGGAGTCCCCGGCCTTGCCTCTGACGCCTGCATGAATTCCAGCGCTTTACTGTGTGTCCTCATAGTGCACCTCTCTGAGCACACTGGCAACATGGCACATTGATCTTCTCCAGCGGTCCTCCAGGGCTATTCTGCAGCTCGATGGGAGCACTCAGCCGCTGGCCGCGCTGGGGATGCACGTGGGCTGTCTGGGGCTCTGGAGCAAGCCCACCACGTAGGTTTGGAGAAGGCAGAGCTGGTCTCTTGGTTATGACTGTGTTCTGCCCGCTCTGTCCGGGGCAGGCCGCATCCCTGTGCAACCTGAGCTGGCTCGGGACGCGCCATAGGGAGACAGGGCCCTGTGCACACGGGAACATGCTAGAATGCAGGCAGCGCGGGCGCGGGGATCGCAGTCACCAGCGCCTTCAGCCCGGCCGCACAGGCTGCCCGCGTCCGCTCCTCCTTCCAGCGGCAGCCAGCAGGGCGGAGGCAGAGCCGGCTGGGTACGGCCGGCCTGCGAGGCGGAGGCCTGCGAGGCGGAGGCCTGCAAGGCGGAGGCCTGCGAGGCGGAGGGAGGCCTGCGAGGCGGAGGCCTGCGAGGCGGAGGCCTGCGAGGCGGAGGGAGGCCTGCGAGGCGGAGGCCTGCGAGGCGGAGGCCTGCGAGGCGGAGGGAGGCCTGCGAGGCGGAGGCCTGCGAGGCGGAGGGAGGCCTGCGAGGCGGAGGCCTGCGAGGCGGAGGCCTGCGAGGCGGAGGGAGGCCTGCGAGGCGGAGGCCTGCGAGGCGGAGGCCTGCGAGGCGGAGGGAGGCCTGCGAGGCGGAGGCCTGCGAGGCGGAGGGAGGCCTGCGAGGCGGAGGCCTGCGAGGCGGAGGCCTGCGAGGCGGAGGGAGGCCTGCGAGGCGGAGGCCTGCGAGGCGGAGGCCTGCGAGGCGGAGGGAGGCCTGCGAGGCGGAGGCCTGCGAGGCGGAGGGAGGCCTGCGAGGCGGAGGCCTGCGAGGCGGAGGCCTGCGAGGCGGAGCAGGGCGCCGCCCGCCGGGAGAAGGCAGGGTGGGTCGTTAGGCCCGGGCTGCGTGAGTCACGCACTCAGCGCCAGGCGTGCCCGCGCGCGCGGTCAGGGCTTGCTGGGGGGGCTGCACTCACCTCAGCTGCATCCGGGACTCCTTCCAGAAGCATCAGCTCCTGCTGCGCCCCGGGAGGCGAGGCCCAGGACAGGGGCGGGGAGGCGAGGCCCGGGACAGGGCAGGGGCGGGAAGTTGAGGCCCGCGGAGAGGTGAGGCCCGGGACAGGGGCGGGGAGGTGAGGCCCGCGGAGAGGTGAGGCCCGGGACAGGGGCGGGGAGGTGAGGCCTGCGTGGAGGTGAGGCCCTCAGGGAGGTGAGGGGAGGTGAGGCCGTGGGCAGGGGCGGGGAGGCGAGGCCTGCGGGGAGGTGAGGCCCGGGACAGGGGCGGGGTGGTGAGGCCCGAGGGAGGGTGGGGAGGTGAGGCCTGCGGGGAGGTGAGGCCCGGGACCGGGGCGGGGTGGTGAGGCCCGAGGGAGGGTGGGGAGGTGAGGCCTGGGGGAGGGCGGGGAGGTGAGGCCCGCGGGGAGGTGAGGCCCTCAGGGAGGTGAGGGGAGGTGAGGCCTGGGCAGGGGCGGGGAGGCGAGGCCTGCAGGCAGGGGTGGGGAGGTGAGGCCCGCGGGCAGGGGCGGGGAGGCGAGGCCTGGGGCAGAGCAGGGGCGGGGAGGCGAGGCCCACGGGGAGGTGAGGCCCGTGGCAGGGGCGGGGAGGTGAGGCCCGAGGGGAGGCGAGGCCCGTGGCAGGGGCCGGGAGGTGAGGCCCGGGGCAGGGGCGGGGAGGCGAGGCCCGGGGCAGGGGCGGGTGGGGGGAGGCGAGGCCCGGGGCAGGGGCGGGGAGGCGAGGCCCGGGGCAGGGGCGGGTGGGGGGAGGTGAGGCCCGGGGCAGGGGCGGGGAGGCGAGGCCCGGGGCAGGGGCGGGTGGGGGGAGGCGAGGCCCGTGGCAGGGGCGGGTGGGGGAGGTGAGGCCCGGGGCAGGGGCGGGCATGGGTGGGAGGCCCGTGGCAGGGGCGGGTGGGGGGAGGCGAGGCCCGGGGCAGGGGCGGGTGGGGGGGAGGCGAGGCCCGGGGCAGGGGCGGGTGGGGGGGAGGCGAGGCCCGGGGCAGGGGCGGGTGGGGGGAGGCGAGGCCCGGGGCAGGGGCGGGTGGGGGGAGGCGAGGCCGGGGGCAGGGGCGGGTGGGGGGAGGCGAGGCCGGGGGCAGGGGCGGGTGGGGGGAGGCGAGGCCGGGGGCAGGGGCGGGTGGGGGGAGGCGAGGCCCGGGGCAGGGGCGGGTGGGGGGAGGTGAGGCCCGGGGCAGGGCGGGCATGGGTGGGAGGCCAGGGGCCGAGGCCCGATTTTGGCAGGCTTATGTGGGAGAACAAACGGCCGAGCAAGCTTGAGGCCTCACGGTGCTGGGGAGGCCAAAGGAGGGGCAGGAACTGGCCCAGTCCTATCCGCGAGGGGCTGTCCTGAGGGGGGCTGCATATCTGTCATCTCCGTCCTCCTCCTCACCACCCCCCTTCTTCCTAGGGAGCCTCAGTTTCCTCATCTGCAGTAAAAGCCTTTACCACGAGGTGGCGCTCAAGTCCACTCTGTCCCCGGTGAGACCCCCTCGCCCTGGGGCGGGGTCCCAGGACCGTTCCCCTCCACACAGGCCAGCCCACACCTCAGGCAGACGCCGGGCTGGGCTGGGGTCCCCGCATCCCGGGGCACACAGCGCTGGCACTTCAGCTCACTCTGACACACCCCATTCTTCATTTTTCACACCAGTAGTTGGGGATCCTGCGCACCCCAGTCTCCGGCTCACGCACAGGCCCTTCCTCTCACCGCCCTTAACCTTGTCCATCTTCGATGCTTAGCCGCTTGCCCCCTCTTCTGGGAAGCCCCCTTGACCTCTGCCAGCCTGCTGCGTGTTCCCCATCTTGCCCCTTGACTACTGTGCCCCCCCCTCTGGGGAGGAGGGGGCGGGTGGCGGAGAGGTGGGGGACGCAGGGTTTGGGTTGGAGTCAGGCAGGTGGGAAGGGATGGAGGAGATGGGGAGAGGTCGCGGGTGGTGCTAGGGGATTCCAGGGACACGTAGAAGTGACTGAGGTGGACAGGAGTTGGGGGGAGGGGAAGAGGTGGGGTAGGGTCTGGGAGGTGGGCAGGGGCAGAGACAGCGCAGTGCTAGGGGTTGAGAAATGAGGGACAGTCTCAGGGGTGGGGGCAGAGGGGTGTGTTCAGGGGTGGTGTCAGGGGTGGGGGTAGTGGGGTGTGTTCAGGGGTGGTCTCAGGGTGGGGGTAGTGGGGTGTGTTCAGGGTGGTCTCAGGGTGGGGGTAGTGGGGTGTGTTCAGGGGTGGTCTCAGGGGTGGGGGTAGTGGGGTGTGTTCATGGATGGTGTCAGAGGTGGGGTAGTGGGGTGTGTTCAGGGGTGGTCTCAGGGTGGGGGTAGTGAGGTGTGTTCAGGGGTGGTGTCAGAGGTGGGGGCAGAGGGGTGTGTTCAGGGGTGGTCTCAGGGTGGGGGTAGTGGGGTGTGTTCATGGATGGTGTCAGGGGTGGGGGTAGTGGGGTGTGTTCAGGGTGGTCTCAGGGTGGGGGTAGTGGGGTGTGTTCAGGGGTGGTCTCAGGGGTGGGGGTAGTGGGGTGTGTTCAGGGAGGGTTTCAGGGGTGGGGGTAGTGGGGTGTGTTCAGGGGTGGTCTCAGGGGTGGGGGCAGAGGGGTGTGTTCAGGGGTGGTCTCAGGGTGGGGGTAGTGGGGTGTGTTCATGGATGGTGTCAGGGGTGGGGGTAGTGGGGTGTGTTCAGGGAGGGTTTCAGGGGTGGGGGTAGTGGGGTGTGTTCAGGGGTGGTCTCAGGGGTGGGGGCAGAGGGGTGTGTTCAGGGGTGGTCTCAGGGTGGGGGTAGTGGGGTGTGTTCATGGATGGTGTCAGGGGTGGGGGTAGTGGGGTGTGTTCAGGGAGGGTTTCAGGGGTGGGGGTAGTGGGGTGTGTTCAGGGGTGGTCTCAGGGGTGGGGGCAGAGGGGTGTGTTCAGGGGTGGTCTCAGGGTGGGGGTAGTGGGGTGTGTTCAGGGGTGGTCTCAGGGTGGGGGTAGTGGGGTGTGTTCAGGGGTGGTCTCAGGGGTGGGGGCAGAGGAGTGTGTTCAGGGGTGGTCTCAGGGTGGGGGCAGAGGGGTGTGTTCAGGGGTGGTCTCAGGGTGGGGGTAGTGGGGTGTGTTCAGGGGTGGTGTCAGAGGTGGGGGTAGTGGGGTGTGTTCAGGGGTGGTGTCAGAGGTGGGGTAGTGGGGTGTGTTCAGGGAGGGTTTCAGGGGTGGGGGTAGTGGGGTGTGTTCAGAGGTGGTCTCAGGGTGGGGGTAGTGGGGTGTGTTCAGGGGTGGTCTCAGGGGTGGGGGCAGAGGGGTGTGTTCAGGGGTGGTCTCAGGGGTGGGGGCAGAGGGGTGTGTTCAGGGGTGGTCTCAGGGGTGGGGGTAGTGGGGTGTGTTCAGGGCTGGTCTCAGGGTGGGGGTAGTGGGGTGTGTTCAGGGCTGGTCTCAGGGTGGGGGCAGAGGGGTGTGTTCATGGATGGTGTCAGGGGTGGGGGTAGTGGGGTGTGTTCATGGATGGTGTCAGGGGTGGGGGTAGTGGGGTGTGTTCAGGGGTGGTCTCAGGGTGGGGGTAGTGGGGTGTGTTCAGGGGTGGTCTCAGGGGTGGGGGCAGAGGGGTGTGTTCAGGGGTGGTCTCAGGGTGGGGGTAGTGGGGTGTGTTCACGGATAGTGTCAGGGGTGGGGGTAGTGGGGTGTGTTCAGGGGT